TTGCACACACAAGCCCGGCCGAGCCAGGTTCAATTCCTCCGCCCCTCTTGCGCCTCTCGGAGAGTCCGGCAAGTTACTGAGAGTATCTCGCCCTCACTGCAAAGCCTAGAAAGCTACCCGTGACCTTTTCGATATGCCAAACACAGTAACAACAAGTCTAACAATGGAGACGTTACTGGGCCCGCTTGAGCAAATCGAGGAACAACGGAAGGATAGTGCTACAGTGCTACAGATACTCTTACTTTTTTTTTTAATCATTTTTTTTATTAGTGAAACACCATGAGGTACATTTATAGACTTACAAATTTTTGTGCTTGGGTTTCAGTTATACAATGATCAAGTACCCATCCCTCCACCAGTGCCCATCCTCCCCCACCATGGGTCCTAGCATCCCTCCCACCCCCCATCCCCCCCCTCCCACCCTGCCGCTGTGGCAGGGCATTCCCCCTTGTTCTCTCTCTCTTCTTTTGGGTACTGTGTTTTGCCAGACCCCATCAAAAAATGGGGCGAGGAAATGAACAGAAACTTTCGCAAAGAAGAAATCCGAATGGCAAAAAGGCACATGAGAAAATGCTCTACATCACTAATTCATCAGAGAGATGCAGATCAAAACAACAATGAGATATCATTTCACACCACAGAGACTGGCCCACATCCACAAGAACAAAAGCAACAGGTGCTGGCGCGGATGTGGTGAGAAAGGGACCCTCCTTCACTGCTGGTGGGAATGCAGGCTGGTCCAACCCTTTTGGAAAACAGTATGGACGATTCTCAAAAAATTAGAATTTGATCTCCCATTTGACCCAGCTATAGCACTCCTGGGAATATATCCCAGAGAGGCAAAAAGGTATAGTCGAAGTGACATCTGCAATTGTTTGTTCATTGCAGCACTCTTTACAATAGCCGGACACTCTTACTTTTAAGACAAGAGTAAGCCCTAAGCACATTCGGGTGTGGCCAAAATCTGAAAGAAAAAAAGAGAAAAAGAGAAACAAAAAACAAAACACCTTTTATTTCATTTAAATATGTGGACAAAATATTTACAATCCAAGGGCGCTTGTTTGAGAATGTACAGAGGTCGTAGTCAGCAAGAGCTAAGCAATTGCACGAGGGAGCTTTAGAATGAAAGAAGCGAAGATGCTGGCGAAGTAGTAGTGGTAAATCAGTGTATATGTGAATTACAAAGATGACATTTTTATTTTATTTTATTTTTTATTAGTGAAACACTATGAGGTACAGTTGTAGACTTACAAATTTTTGTGCTTGGGTTTCAATTATACAATGATGGCATACCTATCCCTCGACCAGTGCTCATTCTCCACCACCACTGATACCAATATCCCTCCCACTCCCCATCCCCCCCCCCATTCCACCCTGCCTCTGTGGCAGGGAATTCCCTTTTGTTCTCTCCCTTCTTTTGGGTGCTGTGGTTTGCCAAAGAGGGATTGAGTGGCAATCATGTTCGGTCTATAGTCTACTTTCAGCATGCATCTCCCATCCTGGGATAACATTTTTAAAGCACACACTCCCTGTCCATCAGGTTCCAGTCAACCTGGGAAGTGTCTGTAGCCACAATCCTGACCAGCAACTGGCCTTTTGCCCAGTGTCCAAACTTTAAGAGAAAATTGAATTTAGTTATACAGAACAGTCAGAAGAATGTGTGTGTGTGTGTGTGTGTGTGTGTGTGTGTGTGTGTGTGTGTGGTGGGGGGGAGGGGTCTTTGACTTTGTCCATCTGGCACCACATATTTAGGTCACCTAGCCACTATTTCATAAGGGCAGGGCCTGCCCTCATTCTTGTGTCACTAGTGCACACTTAGTCCCTGGCAAATTTGTGGCCCTCGCAACCTCTGTGAAGCTCTCTCCTTTTCTCTCTGGGCTTATGCTCCTTCACTGTGATTTGACTGTAGTTCAAGGAAGTTCCGGGGCAGGATTCCATGGGGAACCTTGGTTCCATTCTCTGTGAACGTGCAGAAGGTCCTTTGTTTCCTCAGTTTACCTCCTCAGCAGGGTCTGTGCTGCAGTGGTCTGTGCTTCATTCTGGTTTTGATTTTCTGGGGTTTCTTAAGCACAGACCATTATCTAGGTAACTAGATATGGTTATCTAGGTAACTATCCTCTGCCCCCCCCCCCCCACACACACACACATGTAGTTGATTCCAACCATTGACCAGTTCTCTTAGTCTGTTTTCCCTGGACATGTATGCTAGTTTTCTAACATATATATATATATATATATATATATATATATCTCAAAGATAGACATTTGTTTGTATGTTAGTGCCAAAGCTTTAAAAATACTTAACAGTGGGCCAGACAGATAGTACAGGTGTTAAGGTGCTTTTTTTTTATATGGCATATTCAAGTTTTGTACAGGCATCACGTAAGGGCCCCAAGCCCTGTCAGGTGTGAAGGACCAGGATTAAGCCCTGAGTATTATTAATAATAATAATAATAAAGTGGATATTGTCAGTTACCTATGGTATTAGCAGATCTTGATAAAGTTATAATCATACTGCTGTGGGTACAACTCAATAGCAGAGCACAGGAGGCTCTGGGTTTATTCAGAAGAATAGAAAAGAAACAAAAAATAATTATCTTGTTTTGCTATTTAATAGTAAATGATAACGTTTACAGTAAAATAAGTAAGCAGTATATATTAAGTCTGAATTAATTCAAAATTTATAATAATTTTTGTTCTAGACACTAAACATAAGAATTCTAAATGAGGAGAATTTGGGGGCTGGAGCGATAGCACAGCGGTAGGGCGTTCGCCTTACAAGCGGCCAACATGGCCGATCCGAGTTCGATTCCTCCGCCCCTCTCGGAGAGCCCGGCAAGCTACCGAGAGTATTCGATATGCCAGACACAGTAACAACAAAGTCTCCAATGGAGACGTTACTGGGCCCGCTCGAGCAAATCGACGATCAACGGGAGGGCCTTTTATTTATACTAGTATAAAGTTTGGGACTATATCTAATAGAGCAATAGCAAAGCAAGTAGGACATGTGACCAACCTGGGTTTGATTTCTCCATCCCTCTCAGAGAGGGATGCTACCAAGATTATCCCGCCCGCACAGGAGAGCCTGGCAAGCTCCCATGACATATCGATATGCCAAAAACAGCAACAACAAGTCTCACAATGGAGACATTACTGGTGCCCGCCCAAGCAAATGGATGAACATTGGGAGGACAGTGCCAACAGTTATATATATATATATATATATATATATATATATATATATATATATATATAAAGGTAAAGGCCCTCCCGTTGATCATCGATTTGCTCGAGCGGGCCCAGTAACGTCTCCATTGGAGACTTTGTTGTTACTGTGTCTGGCATATCGAATACTCTCGGTAGCTTGTCGGGCTCTCCGAGAGGGGCGGAGGAATCGAACTCGGGTTGGCCATGTTGGCCGCTTGTAAGGCGAACGCCCTACCCACTGTGCTATCGCTCCAGCCCTATATATATATATGTATATATATAATATATCACAAATGAATGCATTCTATTTCTGTCCCTCTCTTTCTAACTCATTTCACTCATCATGATACTCTCCATGTCCATCGATTTTTTATAGGCAAATTTTATGACTTCATTTTTCCTAACAGCTGCATAGTATTTCATTGTGTAGATGTACCATAGTTTCTTTATTCATTTTTCTGTACTCAGGCACTCAGGTTGTTTCCAGATTCTAGCTATTGTAAATAGTGCTGCAATGAATATAGAGTACAGATAGTGTTTCTACTGTGTGTTTTTGGACCGAACCCTAGGGTATTTTCCCAGAAGTGTGTGGTATTTCTGGGTCAAATGGGAGCTCAATTTCTAGTTTTTTAAGGAATGTCCATATTGTTTTCCAAAAAAGACTGGACCAGTCAGCGTTGCCACCAATGAAGGAGAATCCCTTTCTCCCCATACCCGCACCAGCACTGGTTGCTCTTGTTCTTTTGGATGTGTGCCAGTCTCTGTGGTGTGAGATGATATCTCATTGTTTTGATCTGCATCTCCCTGATGATTAGTGGTTAAGAACATTTTTTTCATGTGTCTTTTGGCCATTTGAATTTCTTCTTTGAGAAAGTTTCTGTTCATTACATTGTCCCACTTTCTGCTGGTGTTGGGTGTTTAATTTTTGTAGAGTTCAACCAGTGCATTGTATATCTTTGCTATTAACCCCTTATCTGAAGGGTTAAAGCACTGGCTGAAAAACCTTTCCCATTCCCTAGGCTGTCTTTGTATCTTGGTCACTGTTTCTTTTGAGTTGCAGAAGCTTCTTGGTTTAAAGTAGTCTCATTTGTTTATCTTTGCTTCCACTTGTGTTGAAGATACCTTTAGCTTCAATATTCTGGAGAGTTTTGCCTATCTTTTCATCCATGTACCTTATGGATTCTGGTCTGATATTGAGGTCTTAAATTTCATTTTTAACAGAATTTTGAAATATCCCTTAAAAAATAAATTTTTATTATTCTGACCCAATGTGCTCCATAGATCAAAGAAATGTATAGAAATAACACCTTGATATTCTTATTCTAAAAAATCACAGTTATCTCATTTTTGTCCATGTCTTCTTCCTTCATATAAGTCCTGTAATTTCTACAGCATGATTATATTTTCTACATCGTTGTATTTTATGATTTTACCTATCATACTATTCTGCATATTTACTAATACAAAATGATAAAGCTTATTTTAAATTTGTTTTTAAAACACATTTTACTAATGTTAATAGACCAATTAACTGCCATTAATAAAATTCCTGCTACTAATAAACTTATACTAGTTTTTTGTAAACTAGTAAACTAGATTCACTAGTCATTAATTTATGTGAAATTTAAATTACCCTAAAACTATTCTTTTTTTTTTTTTTCCAGTCTCACCAAAGGATTTATTTACGGATCTCCAAAACAGCCAAGCTCAGAAAAAAGCATACCAGTACAGTGTCTTCGATCCTCCTGTCCCCCGCCTGCCCGCGTGGCTGTCCACACCCGGGGCACGCCTTCCCAGCAGGCCACGGAAGGTGGTCTTCTCCCCCTCGATGGCACTTCACGGAAACGGTTTCTTTAGAGAAAGACCCTTGGACCCACCTCCCCACAGAACACACAGCCCCGGCCGCATCTGCTGGCGTAGCACAGTGCAGTTTTCCTTCTCCTGGCTGATCAGACGCCACGACGGGAAGGATTGAATTAATACGTGGGCTTGGATTAATAACGTGGACATCTCCCTAGGAATCAGCAGCTCAACTACGGTAGCTGCCGCAAGGGGGGGGGGGGGGGGGGGCTGGAGAGAGGATCTGATTAGAAGAGCGAAAGGAAACAAGACCCCCAAAGTCCCGAGAGTGAGTGTATGCCGAGGCGGCGCGGCTTCCCCCGCTGCCGAGAGCAGACCCCATGCAGAGGGGACCCCCGGCAGGGAGCCAGCAGCGGGGACATGACGGAAGGCTGGTGAAGGCACGAATCAAGAGTCCAGGAAAGCCCACCCAGAGCCGGGGCCTAGGGCTGCGGCGTGTAGCGCAGGTACTTCTTGCCCGAGGGCAGCTCTTTGGTGAAGACGCCCTTGGGGAAGAGCTTCTTGGCTTCCTCTTCGGGGATGGTCGGAAGGACCATAACGCTGTCTCCCATCTTCCAGTCTACTGGGGTGGCCACCCTCTTCTCGGCGGTCAGCTGTAGGGATGCCACCACTCGCAGAATCTCATCGAAGTTCCTGCCGGTGGTGGCCGGGTAGAGGATGGAGAGCTTCAGTTTCTTGTCGGGACCGAAGACGAACACCACACGCGCGGTCACGGGCATGCCCTTCTCGTCCTTCTCCGCCGGGTCCAGCATGCCCAGCTGGATGGCCAGCTCCCGGTTTTTATCGTCAATGATGGGGAAAGGCAACTTCTCGGTGGGCTCGTCGCAGTTGTAAGCGTTGATGTCCTTGCTCCAGGCGAGATGGTCTTCCACGCTGTCAATGGACAGGGCGATCAGCTTCACGTTCCTCTTGGCAAACTCGGGGGCCAGCTTGGCAGCTCTGCCCAGCTCCGTGGTGCACACGGGGGTGAAGTCCCGCGGGTGGGAGAAGAGAATGCCCCATCTTCCTATTGGTGGCTTCGAGAAGCTACACAGGAAATGAAATCACGACAGGTGCAGAGGCCAGCGACAAGGGGCTCCTGTGTCCCCCCACCGCCCCACCCCAAGTAGGATTAACCAGAGTCGTGCTGATCGTGGTCTTTGTCTTCACTGCACACAGCATCAGCGTTCCCTTCCGGTAAGACATTCACGTTTTAGTGGGTGATGAACACAGGAAAGAGGAACCCAAAAAATTGGATCGAAGCTCCGAAGAGACACCAAGAGGCGCTAATCCCAGAGCCCAGGGACTGAAAAACGCCCTTTCTCTGCGCCTTAAGGACAAGGACGGCCCCAGGCTCCGGGGGGGGGGCTCATCCATCAGTCTGCACCTGCCTGCACGGAGGCGGCCCATGTGAAACTGTCACCTCTGAGGCCACCAGGAAGCGGAAAAAGTATATCAAGAGGCATAAACCGAGGGCAGGATGCAAATGCAGCAAGCGTGCTGAGGAAGCGCTGTCAAGCCGGTGCCCACAGGCCCCAGGGCCTGCCCGGCTGGCCAGGGAGCAGCCGTTTGGGATTCCCGGCCCGGTCACGTGCAGGGAGACCCTAAAACTATTCTTTTAAAATAAAATTTTACGGGGCTGGAGCAATAGCACAGCGGGTAGGGCATTTGCCTTGCACACGGCCAACCCGGGTTTGATTCCCAGCATCCCATATGGTCCCCTGAGCACCGCCAGGGGTAATTCCTGAGCGCAGAGCCAGGAGGAACCCCTGTGCATTGCCGGGTGTGACCCAAAAAGAAAAAAAAGAAAATTTTACTCATTTTCATCTGTTTCCAAGTCATAGTAACTACTTTACTGAACTGACAATTGAAGATTAGAGCCATTCACATTATGGTATTGATCATTTATTGATTACTCCCACTCCCTTCTCTGGTCACCAATGTAGTTTTCTTAAAACCCAAGAGTTCTTTTCTTAAAATCATAAACATAAGTTACATTTTGTATAGGTATTGTCTCCACTTTGACCAATGAAATAAATGATTATGAAGAGCTATTTTGTTGTGTATTGTTTATATTCTACATAAGTGGAATCATTCACTAATTATCTTGCATGATCTGATTTATTTCTCTTAGAATAATTACTTCAGATACCATTCATAGTGAGGCAAATGGCAAGATTTTGAAAAGATAGTAGCAGGGTAAAGGTGACTCCTTGTATGCTGTTGACCCTGATTTGAACCTTTGTATCACCTGGTACCCTGAGCATTGCTGGGTGCAGATTCATTTGCTTTGTCAGGGTGGCCTGGGTACTGCTACACTGCGTCCTTGGGTCCTGGCATTGAACTGCAGGCCCCCTCCTGAGCACTGCTTGAAAGGCCCTCAAGCCAACAGATCAAGCAAACAAAAAGGCAGTATAGTAGTTGAGTAGTATCTCATTAAGTATACAGATGACTGTTTTTTCAGCCAGCCACCTGTCATTGGACATATTGGTTGTTTCCAAGTTTGGTAATAATACTCCATTAGGGGTGAATCTATTTTTGGGGGGCTAACTTTAATACACCTTTTTAAAATATACTTTCAAATAAATACGTTGGAATAGCAATTCTGCATTACATATTATTTCTATTTTCAATTTTAAAATAAAACTTCACACCATCTAAAACTCTTATTTGGCTTGAAAGCTAATTGGAATGTTGTAATGCATTCAACACATAGGATGCTCACATCTAAGCTAACGTGCCTCACCCTTCCCAGAAGTTTCTGTTTGATCATCTTTTTCTAGCAGAATTGGTCTCGAAGTATTTCTTCCCCAAGGAAAAGCCTCAGAGTATTGCTCCCATGTCGCTGCACCCCAAAGCCATTAGCAAGGCAAATCACTTTATCCTATTCATGCGAATATTCTGGAGAAGAAACTAATCAGAGCCTTTACCCCCATTTATATCACTTATTAAGCGTATCAGACCTTCATTTATTTTGAGAAAACTCATTGAAACAGGAAGACATATTATCTTACTTAATACTGATGAATCTTGCATCTTAGATAACCTTTTTAAATAAAAGTAGCCCGTGTAGCTCCAGCACTTTACATGGTAAGGAGGTTAATCACGTGAGATGGTATATGGACAATGTGCTTGCCCCTCAAGTAAAACAATAGACCATTTTTGTGTATTCTTTATTCATATACAATAGTGAACATCCAGAATTCTAATTCAGCTATCTATACTATCCCCAAGGAAACCAGTCTCCAGCCTTAAAAAGCCATCTGTCTTAAATGCAGTGCATGATACATATATAGGTACAATTTTTATGTGTTCTTTGTGAAATCTTATTTATGACCATATAGATATTATCTTGGCTTTTACAAAATACGTTTCATAAAAATATAGACTTCCACTAGAGAAAAAAATGTGACAGGCTAGAGAAAGGTGGTAAGAAAAATAATCCAAATGTTTTAACAATGAGGTATATCTTAATCTAAGGAAAAGCTTAAAATAAAACGGAGGAGAATAAACTTTAATATATTCCTCTAGGGCTTCTTTGCACAGTTTGTATGCTATTATATTCTATATTCCAGGCTTAAATTATATAGGTATTTATGATATTACATGAGGGTTGTATAAATGATATAAAGAAATACCACGCTAGGGACACAACAAAATGGAGGAGCACATCCTGCTCTGTATATGTGAGGCCCTGTGTTCAACCCCTAGTGCTAAAAAAAAACTATCAGTGAGACTATTTTAAAGGTTTTTGCTATCATTACTATATTGATGATTGGATGATTTGTGGATTCTGAATTAAGCAGAAGACTGAGTAGTTACAATTTTGCCTCCCTACTCAAATCCTAAAAAATGAGAAAAATGTCATAAAAATAAATTAATCAAACAACATGGTAGGTACCAGATTTTATCTGACTGTTAACAATAATCCCAAATTCTCGAATTTCTTTCTCTGTTTTACTTGAATTGAAGAATATCCTTTACTAAAACTTAAGTATCACAGAACAAGATTTTCTTATTAACACTATTCATACAACTGCTTAAATAAAATACATTTATAGAGGAGACTTTATTTATTTTTACTTAATGATTAGGCAGTTATGTGCAAACAATAGTGATGACCAGTATTAGCGGTAATAACCTTAGAACATTCTTCATCTCTACTTTTTCTACTACACTGTTTAGTATTATTACTGTTTTTCAGATGCAAAAAGTAAATTTAATATTAGAACACTTTCAACTTTTGCTTTAATTCTGATTACAGATTTACTAAAAATGAATATGCTGACTTAAATTAGACTTTTAAAACACTGTTTTAGTTATTTCTAAACAAACAAAATACACTGCCCTCCTGTTGTTCATCAATTTGCTCGAGCGGGCCCAGTAACGTCTCCATTGTGAGACTTTTTGTTACTCTGTTTGACATATTGAATACTCTCGGTAGCTTGCCGGGCTCTCGAAGAGGGGTGGAGGAATTGAACTCGGCTCGGCCGGGCTGGTTGTGGGCAAGGCAAACACCCTACTGCTGTGCTATTCCTTAGATGTTTTAACTGGTAGCTAAATGCAACTATGCTGGTAGGTATTCTACTCTGTGAACTTCACAGTCACGGTCCTCCTGTTGTTCATTGATTTGCTCGAGTGGGCCCAGTAATGTCTCCACCATGAGACTTGTTGTTACTGTGTTTGGCATATTGAATACATCACAGGTAGCTTGCCAGGGTTTGCCATGCGGGTGAGATACTCTCAGTAGCTTGCTGGACTCTCCGAGAGGGGTGGAGGAATCGAACCCAGTTCGACCAGGCCAGCTGCGTGCAAGGCAAACGCCCTACCACTGTGCTATCACTCCAGCCCAGTGAACTTAGAATAATTAAAAATAATGTGAAGGATATTTACCGTCAGTCATTGAATATTACTAAGAAAGGGAAATTCAAGAGGAGGTACACAATTTCCATGATACCTGTATATGAATCTATAATGAGTTAAACAAAAACAAAATTCAAGTCTGATAAGCTTCAGTAAAGTTTTATCTTTTCATCTTTTCATTGCATTTGAATGGCTAGCCTTGTAGCTAAAGTTCCTCCAATTCCTCTACTCCAAAGCAGAGGATTAAGAAGTATTTGTTACAAATAAATATTGGTCTGCTATAAAGCATTTGTTTTCTCTTTTTTGTTTAACCCCTCCCCTGCTCCCTCCATTCCTTTTTTAGAAAAGAAATTATTTTATTCACTCTGATTTACAAAGCTGTATTGGCATGATTTCATACATAAAACATTCAAGCACCACTTCCTGCATCAGAATGTCCTTCCAATATTGTTTCCCTTTTAACTCTTATTGTTCTCTCTCTCTCTCTCTCTCACTCTCTCTCTCTCTCTCTCTATATATATATATATAAAGGCCCTCCCGTTGATCATCGATTTTGCTTGAGCAGGCCCAGTAACGTTTCCATTGGAGACTCTGTTGTTACTGTGTTTGGCACATCGAATACGTCATGGGGAGCTTGCCAGGCTCTGATATATATATATATATATATATATATATATATATATATATATATATACATACATATATATATACACATATATATAGGCTGGAGCGATAGCACAGTGGGTAGGGCATTTGCCTTGTCACGTGGCCAACCTATGTTTGATTCTTCTGTCCCTCTCAGAGAACCCAGCAAGCTACCAAGAGTATCCCACCCACACAGCAGAGCCTGGCAAGCTCTCATGGCATATTCAATATGCCAAAAACAGTATCAACAAGTCTCACAGTGGAGATGTTACTGGTGCTCGCTCAAGCAAAAATCGATGAACAACCGGAGGACAGTGACAGTGACAGTAATATATACATGACTCGGGCGGGGGCAGGGGAGGGAAGGGGGAGAATTCTGTCTTTCCCTTTCTTTCTAGCCATTCACCATAATACTTTCCAAATTCATCTACATAACAGTGAATTATATGCTTTCAACTTCTTTTTGTCACCTCTGGTAACAAAAAAGTAAGCTCAGGGCTTACTTCTGGCTCTCTGCACTCAAGAATTTCTCCTGGTGT